GTATGACCACGTGCATCTAGGAAGACACTTTCAGCCTTTCACAACTGAATTTTTAAAGTAGCATTTTGATGGCTTAGATTTATCAGACCCTGCACTTGAGAACATTTTATGCCCAAAGACACAAGGAATGAACACTAAGATCAATTTGATAATGAACAGATCTGCATCCATCTAATTACTTTGCTCTCATTAACTTTGCATAACAATTCTTACATTTAACCTTTACATTATGTATAATTTAGTCTTCGTAAGTCTATAAACACCTTTTCTCTTGATTATTTTGAATTTCCTCATGTAAACCATGACAATCAAGGAGAGTTAAGCAATCAACAGACTTCAGAATTGTCACTCACTTTCACAAGAGGATGCTACTTAGCTTGCAAGGGCACTGAAGAAAAATACCGAAAGTCCCTGAATGATTAAAGAGTGCTTCATACTGGCAGCTCTTGCAAAGTGTATGACATTTCTTGGATGGGTGGGTGGATGACTACAATTGCAATGACTACAATTGCAATATATTCATACTGTAATGAGATATAATAAATAGTGAAGTTCTGTCTTCACTAATTTCCTGAATGTCATAAGGGAAGAAACCTGGCATATATCAATTAGGAGCTTATTCCATGATTCTCTGATTGGTGGCCGCTACCAAGAAGGCCTGATTCCTTTTGGTCACCATTTTGTCCTCCCTCCACTTTTAGCAACCTGGATTAGGAGGAAGAGATGAAAGAGGCAGCCGTTTTCTGAGAAATAAGTTCTGATGTATTGAAGCGCTAAGCCATTCTTTATAGATCATAAGCAGCACCTTGAAAGTAGCATGGAAATTGACAGAGGGCCAATACAGATGAGTAAAGACTGGGGATATATGGTCAGATTTACTAATCGCAGAAATCAGTCTGGCTGCAGCATTTTGGATGTGCTAAAGTTTTCATACTGTTTTTAAGGGCAGCCCTATGTAGACAGCATTACAGTAGTTTATTTCTCTTATTAACAATGCACGTACTGCTGTTACTATGCATTTGTTATCCGGGCAGGAGCACAATTGGACAATCATCCAAAGTTGATAAAAGGCACTTCTGACGACAGCCAATATTTGAGTCTCCATAAAGAGTACTGGGTGCAGGAAGAGTGTAGCCTCATCAAGACTGGACAGATTTCCCTCTAATCAGTCCAACAATCCTCCTACCAATAGGACCTTCATCTTATCTGGTTCAGTTTCCCTTTTTTCCCCCTCATCCATTTTATTACTGATGCTAGGCAGAGCTCAAAAATGCATACAGTATCATTTGCAAATATGAGAAATAGAACAACGTGTGACCAGCATACTTTATTGGTGAAGCCCAAATCTCCATATGATAGTATCAAAGCCTGCAGAAAGATTCAGGAGGACCAATAATGTTACACTTCCCTGCCTGTCTTCCTTAGGAGATTTCATTGCAGGATGATAAATGCTATTTCAGTGCCATGCTGTGACTTAAACCCTGATTGAAATGGATCCAGACTACCAGCTTCTTCCAAGAACACCTGCAACTGATCAGCCACAAACCTCTTGATTAACTTTCCCAACACTGGAATATTCTCAATGGCTCTGTAATTGTTTAGATCATCTGTTGACAGATTACTCTTCTTAGCAATGGACCTTATTATTTGGTGCTCATAGAACATGCAAGATTTAGCAGAAATGTCTGATTTAGATCACAAACTACAGGTCCAGCTGAATGACATATAAAAGACGCCTGGTTCTTGGGAGGAAAGTGATGACAAACCTTGACAGCATCTTAAAAAGCAGAGATATCACCTTGGCAACAAAAGTCCGAATAGTCAAAGCTATGGTTTTTCCTGTCGTGATGTATGGAAGTGAGAGCTGGACCATAAAGAAAGCAGACCGCCAAAGAATTGATGCCTTTGAATTGTGGTGCTGGAGGAGACTCTTGAAAATCCCCTGGACTGCAAGGAGAACAAACCTATCATTTCTAAAGGAAACCAACCCTGAGTGCTCACTGGAAGGACAGATCCTGAAGCTGAGGCTCCATACTTTGGCCATCTCATGAGAAGAGAAGACTCCCCGGAAAAGACCTTGATGTTAGGAAAGTCTGACGGCAAGAGGAGAAGGGGACGACAGAGGATGAGATGGCTGGACAGCGTCTGTGAAGCGACCAACATGAATTTGACATAGCTACGGGAGCCAGTGGAAGATAGGAGGGCCTGGCGTGCTCTGGTCCATGGGGTCACGAAGAGTCGGACACGACTAAACGACTAAATGATGGCGATGACACAATTGGAATCTTTTATATTTTAATGAAAACCTTCTTCAAGATATTATTTGCTGCCATTGTTTTAAAATAGTTTCTTGTCATTTAAAATAACTGATGAGCAATGCATTATAAAGCGATAAGATTTTATTAAAAGCAATTTTATTGAACAATAAAGTCAGTGTTAAGTGAATTCAGCTGTGTCAGGAGCATGACACATTTGTAATAAATGTGCATGCTATTTAACACTGTATATTATTTCTAAGCAAGATAAAACCTGATAAAACATGGACATTTTTATTAAAAAAAAACCTGAACAGTGTGTTCCAATGAAGGAGAGAGGGAGGTACATAGATAAGGAGAGAAACTGAACCTGGCTCTGTATTTCTAGTACAGGAAGTGTTGGGATAATAACAATCTTGCATTCACTAACATTAGGTATCAGTAGGAGTGAGCCTAATGTAATTGTCCTTTGCCACTCTGATTGATCTCTCATCTCTGGCGTTTGAGGCAACCCCCTTTTTTTCCTTTTTCCCCCACTCCATTCAGCAGATAAAAATATTCCTAACTTTTTAATTTGTAAGAAAATTTCTTAATTTTAAATTCACTCCAATAGATATGAAATGCATTGTGTGAATAATTCATTAAAACAAAAGATAAAATGAACTGGTATGTCTCAATAATTATTGAAATAGAATATCCAAATTATTCCAACGTCTTTCAATCGCTTGTTCTAATTACCATATATTAATTGATGTCACTCACTGTAGAAAACTCCACTCAAGTTTCAATGGCTGATTACTTAGCAGCAAGGGAGGAAAATGTACAGATCAGTCTTATCTAGAGAAACTTAATTTTGTGAATTTACCTTTAATGTTGAATGATATGGTGGTTATTTCACCATATTTAGTTTTGATAATTTGCAGTCTCCCTGACTTCAGTGGAGGCTGTTATCAACTTACCTTCAAAGTGCAATAAATCGTGTATGATTGGACAAATGAAAGTGGAAGTTGTTATCTCTTGGATGAGCTTTGTGAGGCAAACATACATACTCACATAGCAATGAATGCAAGTTGTTTTTGAGCTCCTCCTCAGCTCACAGTTTGGAATCTATGGCCCATCTCTTAAAATAGAGGACAGCCAGGCAATCTGAGCTACTTGCATACTGCACTATCTTCATCAAAGAAGTGAACATGGCTTCAACATCATAAGCCATGTGAATCTGGAACATTAGTAACAGAATATAAGTTGGAACTACCCACAAGAACTTGGTGCACAGCCTCGAAAACAATAATTTATTATTGAAATTTCACTGGGTTTTTGTTGTTGTTTTGTCTTATAGTCTTAATTGTCAATTAAAGGTATCGCCTGTTCCTGTATTCATATTGTTTTCAAAGGATATGACCTTTGCAAGGGAGAAGTACTGACTGCTAGTGAGTCAGTCAGTCTTACTCACTACACTCAAAGCCAGACAAGTTCACAAGTCTGCTTGTCACCCTGTTGCAGGGGTCATGCTAATCTCTGGATTAGTTACCTTAATTTACTCTTAGTGCCAGTAAGCCTATCACCATGTCCAGATGAGTTATTGTGAACACGCTCTTCTATAAAATACTATAAACCAGTCCTGTAGCAGACCAAACCAAATTGAGCCCGCCGCCAGCCAAATACTGCTATTTCCCAAAAATTTGACAGGACCCATGTTTTTGCAGTTGGGATTTGCATTCTCAAAGTAAGAGTAGGCAACCAAAGTAGAGGTAGGAGGGCTGCACATTCTCACTCCTGGATTTTGGAGGGGCATGTGATCCATCAATTTCAAACAAGTTTTTTCTCTTAAAATGCTTTTTTTAAAAAAAAACACCTCTTACATCCTTTCATGGACAATTTGTGAGTGCAGGTGGGCAGAGATGCTGGGGACCCAAAACATGAAAATGGAATGCGGGTGATAGTGGGGATGCATAGGTGCCAGGGGCCACATGTGGACTACAGGCTGCACTTTATCCATTCCTTCGTTAGAATAACACCATAATAGGTGACTTTTTTTAACTTTAAAGGAAAGCATTTCATGGATTACCTTGGTTTATTGGATTTGAGGGGAGGATGTATCTTCCCTTACCTCCTTGTGTCTTTTTACTTGGAAGATACCATGCAGAAGCAAATGGGACAGAACACTGTGGGACAGCTCAGTCGTTTAGGTCTCTGGATGCAGTGTAAGGCATGAACTATGGGACTCATTTCTGAGTAGACCCATGAGGATTGCACTGTAAAGTAGAAGTCAATGGAGAAACACAAATAAAGCTGTGATATTTATTTATTTATTTATTTATTTATTTCCATCCTGCTTTTCTCCTTAAAAAGGACCCAAGTCAGAGGCTGGGAGTTCGTTTCCCCATTGTGTCTCCTTGACAGGGGCTGGACTTGATGATCTATAGGGTCCCTTCCAGCTCTGCTTAAGGTTATTCTTATTATTATTAGACTCAAAGATAAACTGCAGCATTTAAAACAACCCATTACTGTTCCTTTTTGTAAACAAAACCCAACGGATTTTTTTGACATCACTGAGATGTAAGTGATATAAGCCGCTGCAGTGAATCAAATCTGTTAACATGATATAAAGTAATTAGAATGAGATAAGACAAACCTGTAGACAAACCTTCAGCAGCACCTCCAGATGAGATTTGTTATCAGAACATGGCAATTTAAGAAAAGCAGAAACCTTACAAGAACTGTTTAAATCTCTTAAATTGTTACCTTTGCAGACGGGTCTATGATCACTCCAAGCAGCGAAAACCTCTGCTATTCTTTGGCAAGTTATACTTTTTGCCCCTTGTAGCACGTAGTCTTCATCACAAGAAAACTGCACGGATGCATCCAGACTAAAATAGAAGACATAAAACAAAACAAAAACAAAAACAAAACAAAACAAAAACCAGGTAGGTTAATATCCATACTAATTTTCTTGGATAATTTACAGTCTTATGAGTGATTACAATGAATCTGTTCATTGTGTAATATGGGACCTACTGCCCTGGATAGCAACATGGATATTTTAATTATCACAAATGTGTGTGGGGGGGGGAGGGAAAAACAAGCCTGTGTGCCTCTTTCAATTATCTGTGGAAAAAAACAAAACCAAAGTTGTATTCTCAAAGTTCTTCTATTCTTACCCCTTTTTCTGCTATTTAGGATCCTATTAATGTGTTTCTTCATGAACTGCTGAATCAAATCCTTAATGCGAGTATGATGTTAACATGATTGGATATTCAATGTGTTCATAAATTTCAAAATAGCACAAACTAACAAAAAATTGCATTTTTGGCAAATAATATCCACAACATGCAAAAGATGATAAGGAACAGAACTACTGCCTCCTGTGTCTCAAAAATCTTCAGAGATGTTTATCCCAATTATTGTACTCTTGTAAGAGATGTTATAACCCAATTTTTGTCTAGTATGTCTAAGCAATGGTGCTGATTCAACCAGTATAGTCCCATTTCCCTGTTACCACCCCAGACAATTTCTGATTTCTGTGGCTGCCAGTTTGTCCCATGGTTGATTTCCTCTTCATCAATGCTAAAGGTCTGACTTTGAATGCTTTCCAACAATGGCTTTTAAATAAAATGCACATACATAGGTACACATCAGGAAAAACATTGACACTCTGCAGCAATTTCAGATAGTTGTTTTTTGTTTGTTTGCTTAAGAAAGAAAAGGTCCACTGACTGCATGCGGGATTTACAATAAGATAATTAGGTAGATGCACTGCTGTACAAATGTGTGTTTGAAATTTGTCCAGAACAATGGTCAACAAATCACCCTTATTGTTGCAAAGGGAAGGAATAGAAGGTAACTACAGGCTCCCGGTCTGATAATCCCTTCTGTCTGCTCCAGTTCCAAGAAAGGCAGGAGAAAATGTTGCACAATAGGTTCTATAGCCTTGAAAATACTCACACTGCTGAGTTAAAATCCTAGTTGAACAGAATACATATAAGTCACAAATGACCTAGAGGCGGGGATGAAGCAGGGGAAGCTTGTACAAAGGTGTACTGGATAAGCCTAACAAACAGCAAAACAATGAGTAGCGGAGCTAGGAAGTATGTAGCTATCAGTATGATAGACTATAGACTATCAATATGATAGATCATACCGAGGAAGAAGTAGCACACGGTTTGAATCTACAGAGTAAGACTGATTTGTATCCTGGTGGTTACCTTTATTCAACAGATAGACTGGCTGAGTTTATTTGGAATTATCTCTTCCAAATATCTTTAAATATATATTATGTTATGTACAGCAAATGGTTGCTCTCTACCCATACACAAGTGAATCTCCGCAAGCTGCTTAAGGCTCCAGGACATTTCCTCAATTCTTTTTATCTATGAATTATGACAAAGCCAGTCAATGTGTTACAACTATTTTTACTCCCCTTGATTTCACTGGATCTACTTTAAGTTTGGTAAAGCCTTAATCCAGATGTTTTTTAAAAAAAACTGTAGTAAGATTCAATGCATGTCTACTCAGACGTAATCCATCTTGATGTCAATCCTGCATACTGCCAGATAAGTCTGTATAGGAGTCTGTATAGGATATAAGTCTGTATAGGATTGCAGCCTTCCTTAAGGTGGAGGGCTATCAGTGGACCATAGGTGCCCTTCCAGGTTATATTAGAGTGCAATTCCCATCAGCCTTAGAAATCGTACAGAATAGTCAAGGAAGATGGGGACTATAACCACGTTTCAGCTGCTGCTAGACCATATATTATTCCCCCAACACACACACCTTTAGAAATTGCACATTAGTCAAGCAGATATGTATTTCTCTGTTTCAAAGCAAAAACTCTGGACTGTGCATCATCTATGCATTTACAGACTTCCAAGCATTGCTACACAGCAAAAATGCAGTTTAGTCCAGGTCATCAAGCTCCTTGGTGCCAAACACCAGAGCAGATGTTCTGTTCATATGGCTTCCTTGCAAATTATTTTGCTATGGCTATATTTGTCTGTTGCCAAGCTGGATTTTCACAAAAAGCTCAGAGCTACAATAAATTTCAGCACCCTTACAAACTTAAATGGGAGGCCCTAAAGCCCACTTAGACACTATTTGTGCTAAGTACAGGGGGAACTTGAGAATAGTTCAGTCTCCTTTTGACTCCTAACAAGTTTCTAAAGATTATTTGTTGGCCTTGCTCCATCAGACTAACAAATTGGAAACTGTCCCTCCAGCCAATGAGTCTGAGAAATGCATCTCTTCCTTTTTCTGCTAAAGAATTGTGAGCCATGCTATAATTGCTAGCAAGTGGGTTTTAATTAGCAAATCATAAATGAGTGACTCACACTAGCATTTTCTACTATAGCATTAATCATCTAATATCAAAAATTTCTTTACGTATGTATCATTGACTGCGACTTGGTTTCATGTATTCAGGTAAGTTGCTATCTTCGGAGATCCTGTTTCAGATAATAAAATGAGGCAGGTCATCACCACTTTTCAGTGATGGTTATAGAAGAGCCTTTCTAGAAAGACTGGCACAGTGCTATCTTTTAGTACTAAATGAAAAAAAAAATGCTCACCCAGTTGTTTATTTAGTCTGGATCTTTCAATTTTAACATCAATGATTGGAATGTATTCATGTTTAAAATTGTAGACTCCATATTGCATGGCTTTTTGGATTGGCTTTATGCTTTGTTTTATTTTTCTACTGAGGATGTTTTGAAATACTTATTGGCAGAATCGTGTTGGTTCTGCCTGCCAGCATTAACTCTATCTGTGCAAAATTCAGTGGCAATTTTTCACAAGTTAAGAAAGTGTAATGATTTACTATTAAACACATCACATGTGATTTAGTGTAGAATAACAAATCCCTAAACTGATTTGTAGCTGAAACATATGTCAATGGAGTTACAGCAGTAACTTGATTCCAGCCGCTACTTTCAAGCTGCAGAAGAACCTTGTGTTTTGTAAATACAGTTTAAAAATACACACCTTGACACAATACAATATGAGGACATACAGTGGTGCCTCGCTTAACGAGCGCACTGTACAATGACGAAATCGCATAGCGATCCCTTTTATTGGATCGCTAATGTGATCGCTCAACGACTTTTAGATAGGGCGAAACTCGCTTTGCGAAGGTCGGTAAGCGTTTCGCTTACTGATCTTCGCAAAATGAAGCCCGACGATCAGCTGTTTGGCGGACAAAATGGCCGCCGGAAGCCCCAAAATAGCCGTGCGCAGCGTTTTTGCGCCCTCCCCTTGCTTACCGAGGGCACAAAAATGGCTGCCGGCCATAAGAAACTCCGCTGAACGGTGAGTAAAGGAGCCTTTTGGAACGCATTAAACGATGTTTAATGCATTCCAATGGCTTTCCCTGTCCTGTTCAGTGATGTTTCGCTATAGCGAAGGTTAATCCGGAACGGATTAACCTCGCTATGCGAGGCACCACTGTATTTAAAAAATAATAATTCTGACACTACAGGTTACAGTCTGAATGTACGGAAGCAAATACAATGAATGCTTGCATTAGTACAAATATATACAAGACAAATTTAAAATTACTGTTCTGAAAACATGTGGGTAGGATTTTTCCCCAACTGCAGATTTACCTAAAGTCTGAGCCTATCCGTTTTCCATTTTCAGGTTCTCCAGGATCTGGACACAGATTGGATGCCTGTTTAATGCCTCCTTCATTTACTGCAAAAGAAGAACAGAACCGTGTAGTTTAAGAGACAGAGAGATTCAAAGACAAACAAACAAGATAGATGGATGGATACAAAGAAAAATAGATTTCAAATCTAAAACTTGTCTAAAAATATATTATGCAACATAACATGAATAAGATTTTGTTTTCAATCCTACATTTGCACATAATATTAGAAAGCAGGATTGAACACCCTATGGCATGTGTATATATACCGTTACATAAACACACATATAATAATGTATGTTGACAATAATGCTGGGAAAGTTTGAAGGCAGAAGGAACAAAGAAAGACCAAAAACGAGATGGATTGACTCCCTAAATAACCACAGGCTTGAGTTTGCAAGGGCTGAGCCGGGCTGTTGATGACAGGACATTTTGGAAATCTCTTATTCATTAAGCCACCATACATTGGAGGTGACTTGATGGTACATAACAACAATAAACACACACATATATGTATATACATATGTATACATATATAACTAGTCCTTCAAATCTGAAGTCCTAGAATATTTGTTACATCAATATTTAGTCCAGCTCAGAAGCACATAACAAACATCATTTCCTTCTATGTTCACAAATGTATACGTCTTCTATATCTAAAAGAAGATAAAAAATTTGAACTTGGAATACTCTTGAAGCAATTTCCTAGCCACTAATGTATAATAAAGACCAGACCCAGGAAGAAGTGTTTAAAGAAATACTGAGAATGAACTTCAGACTCATATATCCATCAACAGTTACAAAAATATATTAGAAACCAGCACACTTGATTTGTAAACAAGTTGTCATGTACAGAGTGTTCATGTTTACAGAGTCGTTGCCCATGCTAATTAAGGGGCATGCGTGTTGCAGTCCTGTCCTAGCCAAACAGGAATGGAAATGACAAAGTAAGCATTTCTGCTATTGATCCATGATCTAGACTGGGAAGGAACATTGCACAAACCAAATACTTTGAGTATTTGATATATTTGTAGTAGTTTGGCTGGTAATCCTGAGCTGGTAATTGTTTACACTAATTAAATAAATGGGATTTCACTATGTGAAGACTCCTTCTTGCAGCATAGGGTTAGTAACAGGTAAACTCCATCTGTGGAGCTGAAGAGATCAGTATGAGCACTGGGCAGAAACTGGTGACTGGGAGGCATTTGAGGCCCAAGAGATACCAGTGCTACCAGAGTGCTCAATGGGCAGTTGGGAAATGATCCATTGCCAGGACCCAAACCCAGGGTGTTGGGAGGAGTTATCTGTCCTGCCAAAGGAAGTAGCCTGAGTGTGCCGAGATGAGGCAAGATGGAGGAAGGCAAAACAGCTGGAGAACCAGCGTAGGGCACACCATTGACACAAAAAGCAGCAGGAGCAAGCAGCTCCATGACAAGGTTCTCCTGGGCAGTATTCCCAACACCAGCCAGCTTGTCATCATCATCCTTTCCCACCTCCTTCTGCACCTCAGTACTCAGGTGAGCCCAGTCATGTCTGTATAGACTTTGGCCATGCCTCCAAGAAGGAGTATTGCATGTATAGTTCCAGCGGCCACTAGTAGTGATTACAGGGTAAGGTGCGCAAGCTATACTACTTCAGGGACAGTTGAGCGCCTGCATTTAACATCCCTGTTGTGACACCCCATGCTTGGTGCACCTGAGAGATGTCTTGGAACTGGTAGAGGAGCTGTGACTCTGCTCCTCCCAGTAAAAAAAGGCTATTGTGGACTGGTCCCATTGACCTGAACTGTTTGGGAGTGCAGTTAACTTCCTGGAGCCCATAGAACTGTTTAGGTTTTGTCAGTGAGCCGTGTTATATCTGTTATTGTTGTGTTGTTCCAATAAAAGAGCCTGTGCCTGCAAACGCTCTTGGTGTCTTCAAGGGGGAGGGGGCGTGGGGGCATTCACACCTAATATGCATATTTCCTAAGTAAAATGGGTTCTATAGCACAGTAGGTATTGTGGATCGAGAATGACTTGTCTGATCTAATCTATAGACATTTGGCACAGGTAAAACTAGGTAACATGTATATGATGACACAAGAAATGCAATACTCCAGTGGACTAACAAAGATCATGACAATCAGATGAAGACATAACACCTAGGTATGACTTTTTTTAATCTAGCAAACTAGCATTATGCTCAAAGATGTCCAACTCCCTTATCCTTTTCAGACTATATCCAGCTATATTTGATACAGGAAATTGTAATATAAACTTTTGCACGGCAAGACATGCTTTGATTCTTTTTTTCTCAAAAAAAAAAAAAACACCACAATTATTTTGTAGAATAAAACCATATGCCCTGGTTTGGGTAAAAAGCTGTGGTTTAAAAACCCTCAAAACAATAAAATTTGGTTCATATTAAATATTTCTATGCCTCCTGAGATGACTTGTTACACATTCAGCAGTTAAGTCAAAAATAGGAAGAAATAGATAATAATAATAGTAATAATAGTAAT